ACAGTTCTAACAAAAGAGAGGGAGAAGGAGGGGGAGGGGTGGTTTGGCTGGGGGAGGGGATATATGTGGTGCTCTGTTGTCACTAGGCTAGGGAGAGTGAGAGGGGGAGGGAGAAGGGAGCTAGAGGGCAAGCGAGGGAGTGTAGGAGAGAAGGATACATTCCCAGAAGAGAGTCTCACACACATTTATGTCAGCTCCCTGTTTTACTTTGTGAATTAGTGGATTAAACTGAACCACTTATCAAGTAAATCCAGGCATGATCAGGTCAGTAACCGTTTAGTGACTTTTTGAAGATGATTTTGGTTTTGTTTCCTTTCAACAGTACTGATAATGACTCTGCTGCTTCTTGCAAATTCCTGTCCTTTCCACTTTTCTCTGTTCGTTCTTTATTCTCTTTCTTGTGTGTCACTATAGTGTCTTCTTTTTACATGTGTATGGGATTCTCCTTACTTTGTATACTACATGTCAAACCAGGGTTCTGTTATAACCAACTCTACATTCTTCATTTTTACCTCATGTGAACCATGTTAGACAGGATAGCGTCCTTGCTCCTCCGAGAGTACAAAGTTCTCTCTGCTGATACGCTTTGCTGTGTTTGTGTGCACATGACGTGTGTTGGCTTCAGTGAATTAGAAACGTGTCTCTGCTGGTTCTGCAGTGGGTAAAAACCCACTCTGTCTTGATTTTCTTGTTCTTTCCATGTGTTTATGTGAGCACATACACATCCATGTGTATGAGAGACTGATTGTGAGTGTGTTCACTCTCTGTCAAGACATGTAATACACAAACTCTCTCTTGAACAGTCACACACATGGATATGTATGTACCCACAAAACAGATGGAAAGAACAAGAAAAGTAAATCAGAAGCAAGAACACTGAAAGTGCACAAGAAAAGTATTATTAGCCAATATCATTTTCTGAAAGTTACTGTCACAATTGTCTTTGTAATACACTTTTTAACTTCTTGAAAATGTCCAGAATCTGACTTTGAGTGACAGTCATATTCAAAGTGTCTCCTGGCTATGACGCTGACGTGAGTGTGTTTTTCAGGTGGCATTGTGTTAGAGCGGTGTTGAAGTGTGTGATGAGCCATGGAACGGTGCAGGAGGCCAATCACTAGCCAAGCCAGCAGCCGCACAAGCACCAGCACCAGGAGAAGCAGTTGCCCAGGAAGGCTCCTCATCATGCAGCTGGGCTATCACTAGCACCGGGTGGACCCAGCCCTCTCCTCTTCACCTGGGGCTAGGGCTGCAGAATGCTCAGTCCTGTCACCCCATACAGTAAGTCTGCTTTTATTTGTTTGTGTGTACACTGTCGGAGCTTGGAGGATTATGATTATCAGGACCAATGTTGGGTCTGCTTGGCATGTTGTATGTGAATATTGTGACCCAACTTGGGTTGAGACTGTTTTCTGGTACACTTTCAAATTTTTGGCTCCCCTTTTGTCCGAGGCTTATCTCCAGTGGTTGTCTAGATGGAAAGCAAGGGGCTTGGAGGGGGG